AAGCCAGAGCAGCTGCACTGAAGTTTCATAAACTGTAAAGCTTGGGGTCTGGAGGATAATTCAAATATTTTTAAAATTACAACTTAAGTATTTATTTAAAAGGTGTTCAAGCCATAGCTGGGGATACAGCTCAGTGGCACAGTGCCTGCCTGGCAAGTATGAGGTCCTAATTGTCATATTTGGTACCAGAAAAAAAATTTTTTTGTTCAAGTTGTAGATTATTCTGGATTATCAGTTTCTATTATGATCTTTTGTCTATTCTTTTTATTTTTCAGATTCAGAACTTTTGTTTTCTGTATTTAGGACAGGGTCTACAGGGTCTCACTATGTAGATTGGACTCATAGCGATTCTCCTGTTTTCAGTCTGTCAAGTGCTGGGATAACAGATGTGTGCCACCACGCCCAGTCTCAATCGCCATCCCAGCATGCGAACTCCGGCTGGCTGTTGTGCTGTGCCTAAGCAGGTGCTTTAGTCTGCTGAGCTATCAGGCTGGCCCTCAGATTCAGAACTTAAATTTATTTGTTTTTTTTCTCTAGAATAGTGGTTTTCAAATCATACCTTGTAAGCCATTAAATCAATTTAGTGGACTCAGTTACCATTAAGAGAGAAAGAAAAATATGTAGACTACAATTAAATAGATTAGAATAGAGAATACTAAAATACATCTAAGGTAGTGAAATTACCCTTTTATGAATCTTTTGTTTTACATAGTTATGTATCCAGATGGGTTTGCATTGGGTCTCAGGGTGCAGTGTACACATATACTTCTAGTATATCCTTGTGATTGTCATGGTCAAAAAGGACTTATATAGTACTCTTCTAGAACATATCATTAATTACTGCTTCAAGTGACCTAGATGATATATTTGAGTTTAATGTTATGAACGAGGAGTGAGCTTTCCTAGAGGGGTGATGGAGTGAGGTGTCTAAGTGTATGAGCTCTAAAGTCAAGCCTAGAGGGCTATAATTCCCCAGCCTTAGTACATATTGTTTTGCTATAATATAATATCTGAGATTCGGGGGACTGTAAAATTTTTAAAAAAGCTTACTTGGCTGATGATGCTAGTGAAAGCACTACAACATGGCAAAAAGGAACTAGTTTTGTGCAGAAGGGGCCCGTCTTGTCCAAAGGGTAATCTTTCTTTGCTATCCTCTATTGAAAGAGCTAGTCTACCCCTCCAGACTGCCTGTAATCCATCATTAAGGTGACCTTCACTAAGCTGTATGTCTGAAAGGTTCCACCATCTCAATATCACTTTACTGCAGACCAAACTTCCAGCACATGGAACTGTGGAGACAAATCACATCAAACCACAGTGTCCCATATATTGTTTACTTGTTATGTGATGTTGGGCTACTTCCCTGATCTCTTTCGGCTTTTGTTTCTTCTGCTGTAAAAAAGAGACCAATAATATTAATTATTTTATAGAAGAGAATGAGTTATTACAAAGAAAATAGTACCCTGGTTCCACCAAAAAAAAAAAAAAAAAAAAATAGTAATACCCGTCACATAGAAAGCATCATATATACAATTTGTTAAACAAAAATGTACAAATTGACTCATTAATTTCACCTTTTCTTTGCAAGCCAAATAAAATTAGCATGATTTTAACACCAAACATCGTTCAATGTAAACAAATCAATAAATGTTAAACATGCCCAAACTAGCAATTACTTAAAATTATTGTATTCCTTTGAGAAGTATCTACTCAGAAGCACCATTTTTTAATGTAATAAGCTTTTTTCAGTCTCTCTTCTCTCCTAGAAATTTTTTTCACAATATTCCACTTCAGTAGATCTCTAGTTGTCAGTCCAAACAATTTTTTGACCTGAAATTTTCATCTCTTAGTATCCATACTCAGATTACACCCAGCTGCTTTTAAAAAAGGAAAAATGATTTTAATTTGAAAGACATTTCTTCCGAGTAGACTTGATATGGATTACTATTTGGATTATGCACTAGTGCAGTGCTATACTAGTGGTAGATGGTTACTGTCTTTATAAACTACTACTAAGAGTTTTTCTAATGTTTCATAGACTCAATTACAAGTAATAAAAAACTTCTATTGAGGTCAACTAAGTGTGAAGTCCAAGTCTTTTTTTTTTTTTTTTTGTGGAACCAGGGATTGAACTCAAGGCCTTTGTGCTTGCCAGGCAAGCGCTTATTCTACTGAGCTATCTCCCCCGCCCCCAAGTCTTTTATGTATATTCTCATTTAATTTCCCTTAGAACTCTGACAGCATGTATGTTTTGCACAGAATGAATAGAGCGCTAGAGAATTTAACACATGCCTTTATTCACTTTGCTAGTTCTGAATGCCAGAATTTAGTCGTGAATTCAGAATCTGTATCACTTCTCAATGGTGAGTTCATACCTTTCAAAAATGCAATTTACACTTTTTATTATATCCACAGAAGTTTTGTCCTTAAAACTCCCTATTTTTTTTTTTTAACAGATGGGGAAAAATGCTCAGAGACAAAGGAACTTTTGAGGTTATAAGTAGGCAAAATATATTTTAAATACTTGTCTTCTGCTCCTCTTAATGTCTCCTACTTATAATGTTTAGTATGAATTCCTGATTGGTACAGAATATAGATTTAGTGAAATATAACTTACAGAACATGCAATTCACCCATATCTAATGTGTAATTTCATATAACTAGAAACATGAAAATATTTTTAGATTCTGGTTTATTGCAGTTAGCATAACGTGCACAAGATTTGTCCTTGTCCTAGCATTTATCAGAGAATATAATTCCTTTTCAAGGCCGAATAATATTCCACTGCAGGAATATGCAACTTTTATCTGTCAGTTGATGGATTTTGGGTTGTTTCTGTAGTTTGGAAAGTATGAATCATGCTGTTGAAATATTTAGATGTTTATTTCAAAATTACTTTCCTGTAGAATATAATTTTTATTTAAATTATGACATAAATGCTTTCCCTTCCAGTTCTAAAATTATTAACATGCCTGCAAACTCGTAAAGTTTTGACAAAAAGATGTGGATAAGTAAAAAATTGAGATAAAATTTTGTCAATTATAAAATGCAATAATGCCAAGGAATTGGTAGCAGTATAAGACAATCTCCAACTGAAGATAATTTTGTGTCAACTAGTCCATTTTTTTTTCTTTTTGAGGAACAGGGGATTGAACTCAGGCCCTTCTGCTTGCCAGGAAAGCACTTATTCTACTGAGCTATCTCCCCGGCAACCAGTCAATTTTTAGAGTGTATTTCATAGCTTATCTGGGTGGGCTCAACTGTTGTAACTATAAACAAATGGGCCAAATTAGAACATGATAGTAAGGCATGGTAGTATAAAATGGAAGGCCTACGTTTTCGCTGGCCCACATTAGCAAGACACTTGTTTTGATAATGACGTCAGTCATCAATATAAAATGGCACTATGAAATATAAAATACCAGGTATTTTAGTGTATGGAAATATGAAAAAATTTCCAATTATTCATTTCCTGACAAGTGATATTTTTCGAAAAGCTGGTTCAAATATATGATGTAGATACCGCTAAATAAAAGAGCAATGTACTTGTGGTCTTTAAGCCCCAGGTAGGACTAAAATTTTTATTTTGAAGGACTAAATTTTTGACGAGTGAATTCTACTAGATTATACACAAATTCTACTAGATTATCCTTTGGAAACGGTGCGAGTTTACACATTAATCTTTACAGAATCCTTCATGGATAATTTCTTTAAAAACTTCACGTTTATCACCATTCTGTAGAATTTATGTGGCATCATAGGTCTACTTATTCGGGGCAGTGGTGTCAGACACTGCGAAGTCTAAAGCACCCATCCATTTGGATGGGGAAGTAACTGGCTAAAGCCATCGTTGTAATCCCATCAACAACCACCAGGGCGAGACGCGAGCACCCTGCTCTTCTCTCAGAGGTGTCTCTGAAATACCACGACGTCCGCCTAAGACGTAGATGTAGGCGCGGGACAAAAGAGAAGCCTCTCGTGGTGGTAGCCTGAATCGCCCCGTCGTGAGGCGAGACGTCGGGGCAGTGGTGACGCGCGACCTCCGCCCGCCGCTGAGGACCAGGGGACGGCGAGGCGCGGCAGACCCAGGGTACAGGCCGGAGACAGGGCGCCGGGGATGCCGGGCAGCGCGGTCATTCCCGCGGGCGCGGGCCCCGCTGTGGGCAGCCCACCGCTCCTCCATCTTGGCTAGAGGCAGATAGGCGTCGGGGTCCCGGCCCCGACGCCTACAGCGCGGCTCCTCGGGCGAATGGCGAGGCCCGGCCCTAGCCGCTCGGGATAGGGCCCTCGATCCCCGGCCGGCTGTGAACGGGCCCGTGCTCCCCGCAGCTCTGACAAGATGGAGGACGTCGTCTCCTCTCGCCGCAGCATGACGGGAGTGGGAACTATTCCCGGGGCCGAGGCCGCGTGGACGGGCCCTACGGCCGTCGGCCACCCCGGAGTCCTGTTCCCCGCGGCCCGGGCATTCGACCGGCCTCGCCTCAGCCCAGCCCTTCTCGCCCTCGCGGGGACTCGCGGGGACTGGACAGGGAGGACGCGGGGCACAGAGCCCGCGGCTCTTCTCGGGTCGCATCCGTGGGAGCCAGGCGGGAGCCGGCGGCCCCGCCTGAGCAGCTCGCGCCGTCCTGGCCACAAGAGTCCCACGCCCAGGGGCCGAGCCACGACCAGAGTTGCGGGCGACGCCACTCGGGCTCCAGACACAGGCGGACCGACGCGGTGGGTGGAGGCGGGGCGGGGCGGGGCGGAGCGGGCGCACGGATAAGGGAGTGGGACGGGAGGGCCGGAGGTGTGGTCCGCACTTGACGGACAGGCACTCGGACCACCCCACCGAGGGGGCTCCTGAAGGAAGGCCAAGATAGCCAATGGCCTCGCCCCAGATGCCCTGGCCCGCCTCCGCCAGCAACCAGTGAGTGCGTGGTGGGCGGGGCCTGTGCGGGCTCGGCCGCGCCACCGCCTCCGCCTCCTCCTCCTCACCAGCGCTAAAGCCGGGACTGGACCGAGCGGAGTTGTGCGTGTCTCCGAAGGGGGGTGGGCCGGGGGAGGGGAGGTTCGTTCCGCGGAGCCGCAGCCAGAACCGGGTGAGGCTTATCCCCACTGCCTTTCCAGTCCAGGGCTGCCGAGAGTGGGGGTGGCTGGGAGCGGCGCAGCCTCCGGAGGAGGCGGAGGCAGAGATGGGTGAGGGCGGCCTGCGGAGCCTCCCCCCGACCCGGGCTTAGCACCCCGCGGCGCGGACGCCGTGGCTGCTGCGCGTCGGGGCCTCGGGCTGCTCGGGGCCGCGCTCATGTCCTGGGCGCCCTGGCGTGCGGCCCGAGGGCTGCGGGAGCGCGGGCGCGGCCGGGAGCGCCGGGTGAGGCGGACGCCGTGGCCGGGGCCGAAGCCAGGGTCGCGGGGCGGCGGGAGGTCGCGGGTGTTTTCCTTTCTCTCCCGCGGGGGGCCGGGGAGGTGCTCCGGCGGGCTGCCCGCTCTCGGGGCCGCGCATGGACCCAGTCGGCCCGAACTAGAGCCCCCAAGTTTTCCGGGGCAGGGGCTGCAGCCTGCACCCCGCTGGGTGCAGTCCTCCGCTCCGCTCCCTGGCCGTGCGCTGCGCGACTCGCGCTCCCCGCGTATTGTTTGGCTGGGTCTCTAATGGCGGACGGGAGGCAGCGCTGCCGGTCGCCGACTGCAGGGGGGGCAAACATCGGGCCCAGGGCTAATGCTTGGGGCGAATATGGGCCATATTGGCCCAGCGATTACGTGAGTTGTCCCTTTACCTTCAAATTGGTGCTGAGAGTGACTGGGATGATGCGAGGCCGGCGAACTGAGGCGGGAATGCGAATCCCTTGGTGGCGTCGGGGCGACGTTTGCCCTACCCCCCCTCCATTTCCCAGGAGCAGGCTCGATCCTCCAGGCCCTCTCCACTCGGGATTTTGCTTTTACATTGGTTTTGGCCCCAAATATGCTACGATGTTTTGCTCCACTTACGTAGGAGCGCCCGTGTGCGCGGGATGGGGGTAATAATAGAAGGGCTGAACCTCCTTGACCTCTGATTCTCTCCTCTGCCTCCTTCTGGTGGAAAAGGCTTGGTGCTTTCACCAGGTTGGTTGATCTTAATTCATTTTTCATTTTTTCTCTTAACCCAGGACGAGAAATCGCCTTCAGCCTTCTGTGGTGCATCCTTGGCAGAAAGCGAGGAGGAAAACACCCATATTGTGAGTCCTTTGCCCGTATTTTATTGATCTTTGAAGTGATCGTTGTTATGTTGCAGAGGTTCAGCCTGGGGATTTGGCCCTCCCCGTTGTTTTGAGGGGGAAGAGCTTCTCCTTAGGTGGCAGCTGCCCTCGGGGCAAGTCCCGAGCAATGGTTGATGAGGCAGCTACGAACCGACGCTGCTGCAGACATCGGTCCTGCCTCTGCAATACCAACCTCAGCAACCAGACGACAGCCTTCTGCAGCTGCTCACGTTACCAGAGAGGCGGGGTGGTGCAAAGGAGGGCATATTTCTGGTGCCCTCTAGAGTTCCAAAGTAGGAATTAACGTTATTATGTTTTAAACGCTATGAATGCAACCATTTTTGCCATTCTCCTTTCACAATAGTTAATTGATTTTAGGGGTTGGAATTTAGAATCACGAACTTTCATGTTGGATTTAAGACTCAGATTTTGACTTTTTTAATTTATTGTTTAAATTTATTTTTTTCAGATTTTGACTTTTAAGAGTTGCTAGATCAGTTTCATGTCTTTGCTTAAGAAAGAGTATGGGTCCACTCTTCTAGGAGCTACTGTTTTACCTCCCTGACTAGAATGCTCATCAGACCAGTGTACTGCTGTTTCCTATCCAGTTTTGATTAATCTCTGCCAAGAGGCCTTCACAAATTTTTCTTTTGGTCAAATGAAACTCATTACAAAATTATCAGTGAAGGCAGTGTTCTTGACACTGTCTCTCAGCTCTCTGACAGTTGATACTGTAACTTTGTACACTCTGTCAGTGGTAGGGTCTTAAGTGTAGGGGCTTATATTTAAATATTGAATCCAAATGGTTAAAAATAGCTAATTGAAGCTAAGGATTTGCTGGATACAGATTGTGAAAGATGTCATACTAAATATATACTAAGTGTAAGAAATCATGCTAGTGGTTTCATATATTTCTTTTAATTCCTCTGCCTTGTTGAACTTAGGGTCTTTGCAGGAGCTACATCCCCAGCCTTTTATTTTTTATTTGTGTCTTGAGATAGGGTCTTATAAAGTTGCCTGGACTAGGCTCAAATTTTGGGTGGTCTTCCTCAGCCTTACAAAGCGCAGGTATTACCACCTTGTCTGACACTTCCTTCAGTTTTAATAGCATAATAAAAATAGCATGAATTGACCCCTGATTGTATATTAGCCCAGTTCGCCTTTTCTTTTGACAGGGTCTCACTGTGTAATTTAGGCTGGCCTTGAACTCATGGTGATCCTCTTGCCTCAGCCTCCTGAGTATTGTTGGGATTACAGGCATGCACCACCTGGCCTGGCTATGAGCTCAGTTCTTAAGTTTAAAAAAAAGTGGGCCAGGGAAATGGCTCAGTAGAATAAACACTTCCCTGACAAGTGTAAGGGCTGAGTTCAATCCCCAGTTCCGAAAAAAAAAAAAAAGTTACTATAAAAACTTGTAAATTTATCAGCAATAGCCTACTCAATCTTCCTGTATCTACCATTTGTATTCTAAAATTGTCAGCACATACCCAAACTAATTCTTAACATTTTAGGTAAGTTAACTGCCACAAATGCCCACTGGTGTAGATTTATATTTCTGGTTTGCAGAGGAGGAAACAAATAGAAAGTTACTCTGATTAAATCAAAGGTTTAAATTTAATTTTTCTGTTGTTTTAAGAGTGTGCCTTGGGCCGGGGAGATAGCTCAGTAGAATAAGCTCTTGCCTGGCAAGCACAAGGGCCTGAGTTCAGTCCCTGATTCCGCCAAAAAACCCAAACAAACCAAGAAAAAAATAAAAAGAGCATGTCTTCCTATATTCATGTTGGATAGAAACTTACTATATAGCTCAGTCTCCTTAGTGCTAGAATTATTGAAAGGTGCTGTTATACCCAGTGAGGTGAAGGATTTGATTTAGAGCTCTGTTTACAAGCCAGGCTCACATGTAATCTTAACACTGTGGGAGGCTGAGGCAGGAATATTGCAGATTTGAGCCCACCAATTTATTTATTTATTTATTT